AAATTATATGATATGTGTACATGCGGATCTTGATGGACCTGTCATCGAATCAGAAGTGGTGGGCATGATAAATCAGAAAAGTGGCGTCCGTGTGTTTGGCCATTTATCGGATGACATGCGCTTGGTGGATACCGAAATTGCTTTCAGTAAATGCTTGCATACATGTGGCAAAGGTGGCCCGAACGGCATCGACGATCTCCGCGTTATGAAGGTGATTCAATAGTAAGACCGAGATTGGTCAACGTTCGTAACCGAGTTTGTGGGGGAATCGCGTCTGTTGGGTATTCATCACCGCGCAAACCGGCAAGTTCATCGATTGCTCATTGATGCCAAACGATGGAAAACCCATGGACCGCTCATTTTTAACGTATTTCATCTTTTCTAGTAAGGTAATCTTGTTACTCTCATGTGTGGCTATAATGTATCTAATTTGACATTACTATATCGCTTATCCAGTTCTGAGTGGTGATATTTTGCATTAGTTTCATGAGAGTTGAATAGAAAAAAATCTGTACGGAAAGATCCAACACGTCACATCATCAACGATGGCGGGCGGGCACACGGACAGGGTTCATGATGGGTCCGACGCATAGAACAGAGTTGAGAAGCTTTATGCTGGCAAATATCTATCTATCTATCCTTTGTATCTCTATTAACAGACTAAAGAGACATGCCTGAATTGCACTCTGAAAAGGCTAGCCAAAACTGTTGTGTGCAAAGATACTTCATTTGCGCAGACTTCATCAGCAGCGATAAAGTAGTGACTTCCAGATAGAGTTCCTTTTCCAGCGATGATTGCTATCTTAAGCAGTATAAAAAGTGAAGGAAGAAAAAATTGCCGTAAGATATTCAAAAAATATGCGTCTCATTCATGCATACATATCAGAAAATGCTACACGAATTTCATTCCATTGATAAACTCGATGAATCCCTGTAGGCCGATTATACTCAAGGACACCTGGCCACCGATACCTCTCTGCGCATTAGAGTTGCCGGTGAGAATGGTAATGGCGGTGCGGGCGAAAAGACTTCTTCAGGGTCTCCTCCCCCCCTGGAACGAACTTGGGGCACGAGTGACCCGTGGTCAGTAGAAACTAATGTTGGTCGCAATTGGCAAGAGTGAAGCCGCAGAAGCAAATAAAACATCGGAATATATA